TAACTGGTACTGGTATAGGTATTTATAATGTGCCTCTTCCTTATTATAGGTTATAAAACGCAGTTCTTTTCCCTACTCATTGGGTTTACATGCTGTTGCTGCTGGTAATCATTGCAGGAGCTGGCAACCCCACCAGGTACCCATTGTACTCATGGGTAGAGAGAAGCAATGCAGATAAAGTGCTTTGCTCAAGGATACAAGCGGAATGCTGATCAGCGAGGGATTGGTTGGGGAAGCAAACCGTTCCTACTGCGCCAAACTGCTATTAAATATTATCGTCATTATTCATGTAATAATAGCTTTGTATTGTATATTTCATTATTGTCTTTTTACAAAATTTTCAATGAAACTTTTAATGGCAATATTTTAATTTTACTACTGTCAGCCAAGTAATCCAGTGGAGAACAGTCTTCCAGGCATTGTCACATACAAGAACCATTCCTCACCCGTCAAGATCACCAATGTCCAGTTACAAGGTGCCCCACTTGAACGCCACGGTTACGGACAATCATCCCAGTTTTTGGAGGATCAGTCATCGATACAGCAGGATATTAGAAGTAAGAATGTAGAATTTTCCAACTAAAAAAGCTTGTAAACTAATTTGTTATGTCAGCCATATTGTTTTGCTTATATCATATGTTGGGGTGCTTTAATTTACTTGGATAGATGATAGTTCTGAGGTCACTCTCTTTTTAAAAATTGTTTTCTTTCTTAGTAGTATCCCAACATGGTCGTCAACGAAGAAGTGATGGACGCGGTGAGCCGAGCATCTCTCCTCAAAATAGCGGTGCCAGATTCGGTCAGCGCCATGACCAGACAAGCTTTGCCCGTCAGTACCATCTACAGCATCAGGTTCCATATGTGCCTCACCACGGCAGAGGTAACGACTATGGGAGAGGAAACCACGGAAGTGAATATAACCGTAGTGGTCATAATGACAATTTTAACTTGCATACAGATCCTTATAACAGGTTAGTTTATTAATATTTTTGTGTATTAATCAATGTGTTTCTAATTTATGTTAAGGAATTCATCAGGATTTCATTTGTTGGTATAACATGTTGATATTATCTTTAAATAAATCCAAATTCTTTGTTCACTTTCAAAGTAAAAAAATATAGAATTTGGATTTTCTGTAAAGAAATAATGAAAATTTTCTTCTTCATGGCACTGTTTTAAAAAAAATAATGTTCTTTCAAAATTTTAAAATATATAAAAATATTCCCTGATAGAAACTTACAAAGGCCTGTTTACACTTCAGCGATAACGATAAAAAAGCTAAAAAGCAATTGTTCATATAGAAAATAAAAGAAATAAGAGAAGTTTTTACACTAGAACGATTCGATAATGATTTATCAGTTATGCGATAACAAGGTATTTTGACAAATCAAATCAGATGACGTCATAATCATGGAAAAACATTAAAATCGTAGTAGTAGCAACGATTTTATCGTTTTTCCATGATTATGACGTCATCTGATTTGATTTTTAAAAATATTTTGTTATTGTATACACGATAAATCTTTATCGAATCGTGTAAAAACGTCTCTTATTTCTTTTGTTTTCTATATGAACAATCGGTTTTTAGCTTTTTTATCATTTTCGTTATCGTTGAAGTATAAACAGGCCTTTAAGCATAATGTAATCATCCGTCCCAGAATGCCATATTTAAGACACCCTAAACAATGTCCAGCTTCTTCATTCTATTTTGGCTTATGCAAAATGAACACTGAGAGTATATCTTACCAAAAATTAATGTAGAGTTATCTGTCTACTTAGTATCTTGTATAATTATACTTTGTATTAAATTTTCTCCCTTCAAGGTATGGAGGAAGTAAGGGAGGAAGAAGATGAGGAAGGTCTTACTTGTTACCATGGTTACCATTGATGAGAGGCATCATGCCCATGATAATCAAGATGTTTATAGCAAGATATATTCTTCCTAAATTATTCCTCCATAGTTGAAATACCATGTACCGCATTTATGGGTTTACTATTGCATTCAGTTTTTATAAGGGCATTGTAATTCCCATGCATTTCAGTAATGCATTCATTTTCCTTCTAAAATTAAAAATTCTGACATAGGCACGTAGAAACAGCACGTATAGATTAATTTACTGGAAATTCGCTGTAATCTGGCAGCCTTGATTTACAGTAATATTTGCTCACTTCTTTTTCGAAAGGAATACAAAATTACATATAAGATTAGAAAAATAAGCTAAAATTAGTCAACAGTCATAGAGTTGATACATATCATATCCCCTGCGCACCGTTCTAGTCACCAGCCACATTCTTTGCTATATATTCACAGCCCTGCGCTGTTCTGGACATCAGCCATAGTCTCGCTGCAAGGCTGTTTTGACCACCATGCAGCCAGCCTTGCTACATACTGTAGGCCAACCACATCACTCAAATTCCATTATTGGATTCATTATTGTATTGTATTATTGTTTGTTTACAAACTGTATTTGAGTTGGGTCACAATCAAATAGTTCGGAAAATAATATGTCTACCTTTAAAGAAGTTTGATCTCAAGATCTAGGTATGATATTTGTTATTTTGGCTACAAAGATTTATTCCAAGTCAATTGAATCTTTTTACTCATAAATAAATATTTATGAACCTACTATTTATGCACTGTATCTAAACCACGCCAATCTGCAATAATATTATTTAACAATCCTAATTTCCATGAAATGGTAATTTTTAAAGTATTATTTAATATATTTTATGTATTAATTAAATAATCTCCTGTTTAATGAACTTGTTCACAGTTATTTCACATTACATTTTTTTTTCATAATTATTGTTAATAAGATGTTTGCAAATTCCTATTTTTAGATTGTAAGTTATTTTTTTTATGTTGTTTTTAAAGGAATAAGAGCACAACTATTTTTTATAAATTCTAAATACATTTGATTCTGATGTAAATAATGTTCTTATTGGATAACAGAAGTGTTTGTGAAAGTGAAATTATAGTATTTACGCTGATATTTGAATAAAAAAAATGCCAGAGTCAATTGTATATTTTTGTTGTAATATAACTATTTATTTATGAAAGAGTAACAACTTGCACATAACGTTCTTTATATACTTGAAAACAAAGGGTTAATTTAACAATGGACGGATATATGATTATTAATATATTCTACTAGTAAAGAGGTGTCACAAGATAACTGAAATTCCACAAGATATAGGCCTGCTGTAATATGATACATACTAATTTGCAATTCTAATACAAATTACTTTTCAAGACTAAAATTCAAAACTTTGTTAAACTGATATTTTCATTAGAGAAAATACTATCGCAAGGAAGCACTCCGGGTGATAAAATTATTGAACAACAATACAAATCCCTAATAGAGTAATACCCACCTTTGGTAAACCTGTTATTACCTGCGTACTCAATCATCGTGAGGATTCTGTTCTGCCGAAACATGTACACGCAAGCCTGCACATGAGCGTTTTGTGTGTTGATACATTTTGGAAAATTTAGGGCATGGTCTTGACTGCCTTGAAATTCTCAATCTCTCTGGTAACAGAATTTGTTTCTTTAAGGTAAGATATAGACTTGCCAGAAGTCACTAATTTATTGATTAAATAATTTCAGGTAGCGCCACCAGTGTCTGTCCTTGTTTATGTTAAAAAAGTATGAAATGCTATTACTAATATGGATCGCCTTTGGTACCAAAATAATTTATTTTTAATAGTTTTCACTGATTAAGACAAAAATTCTGTAGTGTTTTCCTGATTTTACAACAGACATATCTTTAATTAACAATAATCTATCTTCCTTTCTGATTTTCAGCAGCTTGGACAAAACGCAGCAGTTCCATTATCTAATAGCCTGAATGTCTTCGAAGAGAAAAGAATTGAAGCTTCACTTTACAAGGCTGGAAAAACGTCTTACGCTGATCCATGCCCCTTTCACTATGGACCATTGTACGTCTGCAAAGTATTCTTTGGCAAAAGTATTCCAGCGTTAGATCTTAAAATGGGGTAGGTTTTAACATATTTTTCTTTGTTAAGCACAAGAAATCATGTCAGTTACTGTAAATAGCAAGAAAACTTTAATTTTGAAGAGTATGGTGCTCTAAGTTTCATTATGAAGCTTGGAGTTATCCTTAAAAAATTATCAGAGGATTTTAAGCAAGGACCTGGAAATTTGAAGGCAATTAACCACCAAGCTAACGCTTAACTTATCTTGAACCAAAAGCTAACAGTATGCAGGCATGTCCACTTCCAAATGCAGTCTTTAAAATTACGACAGGTACAAGCAAGGAGTATAGAATTGCAAGGAGTCTGCCTGCCCTGATTTTGTATGCATGAAATGAAACATTAAAAAAGTACTACCATTAGATAGCGTGCTCCCTATTAGAATTTGAATCAAGTTTGGAAAGTTCGATGCAAATACCTTTTATGTTCTTTTGAAGAATGGCCTCTAATTTAAGTGGTAGCACTTTTTGAGATAAGATTTTTTTTGAGAGTCAGACCTCTTGCAGATATACTCTTTCGTACAAGGATAACTGAAACTATTACAGGACTTGAACTGATACTTCTGAAATTAAGGGCCAGAACATTCAGCCATCATATTTTGACACACTTGTGTAATATTGTTATGAAGTATTGCTATTTGGTTATGGCGCCATCTATAGTTTGTTTTTGAATTAAACAGTTTGAATATACAAAATGGTTGTCGATAGGCATACTCATTTCAAAAAACTCACCATACTAATTATGTTTGACTAAAAGCTGAAATCTATTTTTATTAATATTATATAGATGTTTGTTCTTGTTTTTTTATTCTGTTTTCCAACTTGCAAAGAGTTTTATCCAAGGGCTGATTCTGTCTTCCATCCAGAATCGTAAACCAGAACTGCCATGGACTTGACCCCTCATTGAAGTGGTGCGAATGCAGCCCCAGACAATGTGAGTGATTGTTCTTTGATCATGAGATAAAATACCAGAATACATAATTGATGTTGAGTACAAAACAAAGATAAGTTCATTTTAACTTTATTTTTTGCACAGAATTCAGTAGCATGTAAACAAGTATTGTAATCATTATTTTAAGTTAACAGTATCTGCATATTTGCATACACTCACTCAGTTTATAGTCAGCAGGCATTTCAAAATATATGCAATGCTACGCCACATCAGCCAATCAAATAATAATAATCAATTGTTGGTACAAAACAATACAATACTTTCTATATTTTGATAAGCTCTTTGAATAGAATTAACATACTGGTTTTCCAAGACATCCAGCTTTGGTAAATATAAGTTTAAATACATCAAAATGATAAGAAAGAGGTTAGATAATTATGCAGAAAAAGAAGAAATTTAAAAGTTAAGATCAACTTTATCAATAATTTGGTTTTTTTAGGAACATCTACTGGCAGGTAGATCTATAAATGAGATGTGTATAAACCAACATTTTGCCAATTATATAAGTGTGGTAACCCCCTAGAAATTAAATAGAATAGTAAGCATAACCTAACTACACATTTTTAATTCTCTTTTGGTTGAGTAAGTGTTCATAAAGTAAACTGATATTTTGCATCTGTTCTTTACAGTATACAGATAATAAAGAAGTAAATCTCTTTTGTTTTCACTCCTCAAGAACAATTGGGATCCAAAATGACTATGAAAAAATTGATAATAAAATTTTCAAAAATGCCCTGAGTTTCATATACGGCAGATACGATAAATTAATTTTTAATTTTATGAATATTAACATAGTGGTTCTTTAGCCTTTCTTTCAGAACACTTAATACATCACATGATTCCAATTGAAGGTTTCCTATCAAATCCACAATATCAAATTTTCTTTCAACAAAAACTGTTGTATTCTTATATATAGGCATGATGTGATGTTATCATGACCATATTTAGGCACGTCACATGTTTATGATTGTCAAATATAATTTGATAATCCAGAAAGGGCTTTAAACTTTATAATCAAATTTGGTTGTGTACAGGACCCTCATACCTCACCTTTCATCTCAATGAATGAACTCAAGCAAATGGAAAAGAATAAGCTTCTGGAGCAACCACAAGATGCAACCATTGATGATGATGTGCTAATGAAACCAATCGTGAAACCAAGGCCTAGGTATAATAAACTATTTTTGTTAAAGTCCCCCATATAGTTACATTACAAATGATATGGCTGTTGACTTTTGAACATGGTATCTGCTCATGTGATAGCAGTGTGATTGTCATGTGATGGACATTCTATGACAATCAAGTGCATCACAGCTAAATCCTATAGAGTGCTCAGGGTAGGATTGGAATATTCCCATATGATATTATTTCATTTGGACTACCATAGTATTAACTGAAACGTTAATTTTCCAGCAAGATGATTAAAGCATTGTATATAGAAAAAAGTAGATAAATATAGAAGAATAAACATGACTAGCAGCATATTGTGTTGTATCAAATCTATTTAATTGGGGAACACAACATAATTGCATTCTTAATTTATGAGCTCTGAAAATGCAGTATAGCATTTGACCTGCAATTGTGCTGAAATTACTTTTGAAGTTGGTTATTAAATATTAAGAACCCAATAGAAAATTAGTATGCATTCATACCAATTGGCACTTGAACAATTTTTATTTCTTTACATGCACATCTGTAGTCACATAAGGAATGTGTTTGTTTTATACTATAGTTGTCTAAATACAAATTGTGTAAAACAAAATAGCATGGATTGATATGCAAGTGGCTTAGATTTCATAAATTAGGAACCCTGTGAATGAAGTGTGCTCCTGATGAGAATAAATATTATTTTGTGAAGAGGATGCGGTTGCAAACTGTATCCAAACCTTATCATTGATCTGAAGTTGAAGGGTTGCTGTCTGACCAGCTTGACCATAGTTGCTTGACTCCTCATAGCTTTCTACAATAGTTTGGTCATTTTTTCTCAACTCAATCTTTCCAACACTCTTTTCATGAATATGATAACTGTAACTGAAGAAGTACACACCTGGGATGGTGCAGGTGAAGACACCTGTACTTGTATCGTAATTACTGCCAATATTTAGTTTCACACTATTTAGTTTGATTTTGAGATCACTGTAAGGGACTTCAAATGTATTTCTAGTATCTACCACGGTGAAAGCAGATCTCCTTTGCACAGGGGCAGAGCCTACAGGTCCAGGGCTGCCTGGCATCCCTATTGGACCAGTCTCACCTTTTTTACCTTTTAGCCCAATTGCACCAGGAACACCTACACCAGGTGATCCATGTGAACCTTTTTGTCCAACTGGACCTGCTGGTCCTAACTTTCCAGGAAAGCCTGATTCTCCTTTTTTTCCTTTTGCTCCAATTATACCTATCTCCCCTTTTTCTCCTTGAATTCCTTTTTCTCCACTGTTGCCTGAAGTACCTTTAGGCCCCTGTTCACCTGTCTGTCCTGGTAATCCTGGAATTCCATGTTCTCCATTCTGACCTGGTATACCATAACCAGGTGTGCCAGGCGTTCCTGGGTGTCCTGGGCAGCAGCTGTGGCATGGAACATTTGCTTGAATGTGTTGGTTTGCATCAGTGTCATTAGCTACTGGTTGTCCAAGTACAACTGGAAATTGTAGCAGAATGTTTCCAATTAAAAGCCAAAGGAACAGCTTGGTAGCACTTAAATTCATCTGGAAGTGTGAATAAAATAATAGATATCTTTTTTTTTTTAATTCTTTGTTTTTGGATATAAACCAACATAGTAATAGATTTTCCTAACTTGAATTTCAGAGAAGTTATTTCAGCAAGTTAAATAAGGTGCTGAATCCTAGTAAAGTAACCAAACTCCTCCTGAGTAGGTGAATTTTGCCAATCTATATTTTAAGCCAAATTACACAAATCAGCAGTGATGTTGATAGTCTGTGAGTGAGATTCTTGCAGCTGTAGACACAATAAAGATGTAGGCATCATGTAGATTCACTGGGACAGAGCAGCTACCCTGTCAATAGCATACCCCTTTCAATATTTACATTGGCATGGCTGAAGCGCTGGCAGCCCCCTACCCTGATATGCAAAGAGAATATCCACAATACACTGTTAGGCTTTATTTTTGTTGTGCCAGAAATATGAAAGCTACATGTATGAAACTCACATATGACGTAGTTGCATATATTAGGAATTGACAAAAAAATATAAATCTAGAAAATTAAATTTTTATTCAATTTTAAAGTTAGCCTAAGAAAGAGATACAGTTGAATTATAACTAATTTACAACACTAATTTTCATTGCAAAAACAATTGTTTTATAATAGGAAATCAACAGGATATTGTTTCATTATTCAAGCACAATGTTAATGCCCAAATACTTTTTTTTTCTTTTGTAAATATGAGCTTTTATGAACAAGATAGAATAGCATGAAGTGTTAGAAATCAGGGTGTAGGCTGTATGGTATAGATTAGAATCCTATGAAAATGCACTAAATTGACATTGTATTTATAATCACATGCACTAGACCTATCTATATGAGTGTCCATTCTAGATATTGAGACAAAATAATTAGGTTTGTAATTGTTCCGAAGATGTCAAAATATAAATTTTATTTTGTGACTACTGTACAGTAGTTTGATACAATGGAAAAATTAAATTTCCCCATTGGGGCCACAATGGAAATAGGTTCATATGTTAATTTAATACATGTTACTTTTTTGTGCTTTTGTTATATAATTATATATTTGTATATTTTTAGATTTCATATCTGAGAATTTCGAATAAATAAATAGAAAAAAGTCTCAAATCATAATAGGGGTTAATATTGATTTGACCATTTTGCACACTCAGAAAGTGTCCTTGTCTCCTTAATAAGGGTAGTCCCCTTAATAGTGGTTGGCAGTAGTGTTAAAATATAATATTCCTTGTCTTCTGAATAAGGGTTGGCCCTAGTGTTTAAAGCTAATTGAATTTCCACTTGTTTCACAGAGGGGTGTCCACTGAATAGAGGTGTGACAAAGGAGGTGTTCTACTCTATGTTTGCAATAAAAGCATCTGTCAGGCAGATATACTGTAGCAGTCTATTCTAACACTATATGCAAAGTAGCAAAAATAAACCATTAACCTGGCTTTGAATCTAAACCTATACTATAGTTTTTGTCAGAAAAATTATATATTTTTAATAGTTCTTCAACATACCTTATTTTGAGAAAATGATCCAACCGTTCTTCTGGTAATCTAAAATTACTTGTCTGTAATTGTACTGTAACTTGGGATTTGCTTCCTCACAGTGTTATGTGCTAGGTGAAAATGAGAATTTTGACTTTGAGTTGAAACCCTTAATCCTAACTACATTTATAAAAATGATTCATTGTCTTGGTAGGGGATGGGAAAATGTTAAAGATCAACTTGCATATTGCATGTTTTGAACTTGAGTTTAAGCCTCCATCCAAATGTTTATGTATACAAGACTGTGTTTACGAGTGTTTACTGAAGTTTTTCTCTGTGCACATGACGGTTCAACAAGAGTGTAGTTTTTAGAACTTTGTTTTGAAAATTAACATATTCTGTCTTTCTATCTAGCAATCTATTTTTGTCATGTCTATGTCATGATAAATACTGATGAGGACATTTGTATATGGTGCACAAATGGGTGATTCTATTATTGTGTAGGGGTAGCAAACATCACAATTGAAATTCCACATATCCACTCTGTTAACTCAGCACCTAGACTTTATGCACATCTTAGCAGGCACCCATTTGTACAAGGAGAGAGGCAAACATATAATGAGAAATTACTGTAAAATTATGGGGATACTGTTAGGGGAATAATTACCAAGTGAGCCATTAGTACAGGTCTCACAATTGAAATTCTACATATAAACACTCAGTACCAGAATTCATTTACATTTTAACCCATTACATGGAGAGAGGCAAACATAATGAGCAATTACAGTAAAGTTATATATGAGGACACTGTCAAGGGAATAATAATTATTATGTACTGAAGTTTTCTATAATCCAAAAAAGATATAAAAAAAACTTATCATGGATTGGTGACAAGCAAGCATATGGCTTAGGTTTCATAAAGTAGGAGCCCTCATAAAGAAGAATTACCCTGTCCGAATAAATTCTTTGAGAGAGTGTGTTGTCAAACTGTTCCCAAACTTCATCATTGATCTAAAGTTGAATAGATTCTGCCTGACCACCTTGACTGTACTGGGTAGGTCACTCTTAGCTGATGACAATGTTTCTTCCATTTTTTCTCAACTGAACAATTCCAGAACCCCCTTTACGAATATGATAATTGTAACTGAAGAAGTACACACTTGTGGGTGCTGGCGAAGACACCTGTACCTACATTGTAGTTGCTGCCAATATTTAGTTCCACTAGATTTAGTTTGATGATGAGATCACTTGTGGATGAGATCACTTGTGGGGGCAATCACGGTGAAAGCACATCTCCTTTGCACAGGGGCAGAGCCTACAGATCCAGGACTGCCTGGTATCCCTATTGGCCCAGCTTCACCGCATTCACAGTCCAATTGCACCTGGAACACCTACACCAGGTGGTCCATGTGAACCATTCTACCCGACTGGACCTGTTGGTCCTAGCTTTCCAGGAATTTAAAGGCAAGTTACCACCAAGCTAAATGCTGCACTCATCTTGAACCAAAGCTAACAGTATGCAGGCATGTCCACTTCCAAATGCAGTCTTTTTAAAATGTGTACATGATGGGCAGTGTGACCACTCACGATTTTTGATATACCCAATTTCTGGGTTGAAATTACCCAAGATTCAGCAAAAATTTCCCAAAATTACCTAAGCTTCCTGAAAATGCATTAAAATTCGAAAAATACGTGTTTTTCGCATGTATAGTTTCCCTTTTAGTTCAATTTATAAACCAATTTTTTATTGTAATTGTTTGTGTTAATTATTAAAATTAATATTCATGAGGTGATAATACAGATAGAAAGATACGCCCTCAGTCGGCCAGTGTTATCAGTAGATCAGTGATATACTGTTTTATTATGTAATGCATTAATTAGTTAAGATCAATGGCAACGCAAATCACAAATAAACAATTCTGAACCCATGTTTATAGCAATTAACAGTCAATTAACAATGATATGTGCACTTCGTTGAGTTTTGCTTACTTGAATGGACTGAAATCTACTTTGTTACTTCTTAATTCTTCCTCTATGACAAAAATATTTAATTTTTATTAGCAAAAATAAAATACCCAAGGATTTGAACGGAATACCCAAGAACCCAAGACCAAGTCAAAATACTCAAGATCTTGGGTAAATACCCAAGCAGTGGTCACGCTGATGATGGGTAAAAAATAGAAACGTTGAAAAAGTACTACCATGAGACAGGGGGCATCCTATTAGAATTTAAATTGAGTTCGAAAATTAAAACATGCGTTTTATAGATGGATAGATGGATAGCATATGAATGCCTTTTTACGTACTTTTGAAGGATACCCTCTAATTTTTGGTTTGTTTTTGGGAAAAGATTGTGTTCCAACAAAACCCCAAGAGTTGGACCTCTTGCAGTTATATACTCTTTGGTTCAAGGATAACTGAAAGTATTACACAAGGGCTTGAACTAAATACTAGGGAGCTTTTGATTTGTTTGACGTCGTAATGCTAGAACGTAATCACTCATGCTTGACCGTCCTACCTGGGTCCTAAGGCGTTCTCTACATATGTACAGTAGATTTGGCCAAATAGCGTCCTAGAATCCACGCAATGAGAACTTAACATTTTTGCATGCGCACGTGACTTTTAGTGGTCCGTCATTACGTTCTACATCCTACTTTGCAAGTGAAAGCTCCGTACTTGTTAATTAAGAGCCAGAATCTTAAAGCATTGTCTACACTATCAAATTTCATCAAAAAAAACATCACATAAAATGTCATGAAACATAGAGTTGAGCATATTCAATTTTTTTTAGTACAATTTGATGATAGGTGATATGACTTCATCGTACCCATGTGTGAGCACGTCACATTTTTTTGTCATAAAATTTAATAGTGTAGACCAAGCATTTACCCATTTTATTTTGACAAACTCAACATACTTTATTATGTTCGACTAAAAGCTGAAATCTATTTTTTATCAGTTTTTTATTCTGTTTCCTGTTTGCGCAAAGAGTTTTATCCAAGAGCTGATTCTGTCGTCCATCCAAAATCACAACATAGAACTGGCACTGGTGCGAATGCAGCTCCAGGCAATGTGACTGGTTTACCTTTGATCATGAGATTCTACTACCAGAATACTTAATTGATTTTGAGTACAAAACAAAGGTAAATTCATCTGAAGTTTATTTGTATTACACACAGCATTCAGTAGCATGTAAAAATAAGAATTGTATAATCATTATCTGAAGTTACAATATCGTCTGATATTTGTATGCACTCAGTTTATAATCAGCAGGCATGTCAAGATATAAACAATGCTATGCCACATCAGCCAATCAAAGAATAATAATCAGTTTAGTTTTAAAACAAATCTGGTACAAAAGAATACAGAACAAATTTTCCTTCATTCTTTTAAGCTCTTTAAATACAATTGATGTTTTGGTCTCTCAAGACGTCCAGATTTGAAAAAATATAATATGAGTTAAAAGTACAAGAAAATTAAATGAAATGAAAATAGAGATATATAAATTAAAGTAGTATATGCAAAGCAAAGAAATTTAAAGGTTAAGAAAATAACATTACTGGCAGGTAGATTTATGAGTGAGATACGTACCTGACCAATTGTTGCTAATTATGGAAGTGTGAATCCAGTATATATTAACAAAATAAACTGATATTTTGTATATGTTATTATATTCTCAACCAGTAACACTTCTTTTCAGAACTATCTATGTGGTGTACCATAAGAATTAATATTTCGCCATGCAAAACTTCAAACAATATGTTAATACAGTTTACAGATAACAAAATAACGAAGGCATGGGCTCTTATTTCCTCTCTCAAGAACATTAAAAATCGGCTAAAATTGAAAATTTGCAGAAACGCCATGAGTAGATACCGGCGCTATTCATCAATTATTAATTTTATGAATATTATTAACATAGTGAATCTGCAAATTTTACCTTTCTTTAAAAAAAAAAATACATCACTTGATTCCAAGTAAAGGTTTTCTTAAGCAATCAAATCTACATTATCAAATGTTCCTTGAGGAAAATGATTTTGTTAAAGCCCCCGTATGTTTACATTTACAAATGATATATGGCTGTTGACTTTAATGTGGCATTTGATCATGTGATAGCAGTGTGATTGTCATGTGATGTAATACATTCTAATGACAATCAAGTGCATCACAACCAATCATATAGATGGAGTGCTCAAGGTAGGATTAGAATGGGCTCATATTAAATGATTACATGAACATGTGGGACTACCATAATATTAACAAAAAGTCTAACAAGATGATTAAAGCATTGTATGTACAGTAGGTAAAGGAGGCAGGAACAGGTAGTAGAATAACGTAACTAACAGCATAATTATTGTGTTAAATTGTGTCAAATCCATTTAATTGGGAAAACAAACTTTTAGATTCATACATTAGATATGAATTTTGAAACAGCAGTGTAGCATTTGACCTGTTATTGTGCTGAAATTGCTATTGAATTTTGGTCATTAAATAAAGAATCCAATAGAAAAATTAGTATGCATTCATACCAGTTATGGGCACCTGAACTTAACTAAATTTTATTTTGATTTTTTTGATTTTTTGTTTCTTCTACATGGACATTTGTATTCGCATAAAGAAAGTGTTGCATACTGTTGTCTATAATCCAAAATCTGTAAAACTACTTGGCTATGAGTTAATATGTGAATGGCTTAATAGGTTTCATAAAGTAGGAATCCTGTGAAAGAGGTATACCGATTCTTATCAGAGTAAATCTTTCTTGAGGTTATATGGTCAAACTGGAGCCAAACTTCATCATTGATCTGAAGTTGAATGGTCGCTACCTGACCACTTTGACCAAACTGCTGCACGCTAGGCTTCTCATAGCTGCTTACAATGACTTTTCCATTTTTTTTTAACTGAACAAGTCCATAATAATCTCCATTAATTAAGTAACTGTAACTGAAGAAGTACACACCTGTGATGGTGCAGGTGAAGACACCTGTACTTTCATTGTAATTACTGCCTATATTCAGTTCCACAGTATCTAGTTTGATGATGAGATCTCCAGTGGAGGGTTGAATAACTCCTTTAGATTGTACCACAGTGAATGCAGATCTCCTTTGAACAGGGGAAGAGCATACAGGTCCAGGACTGCCTGGCATCCCTATTGGACCAGCTTCACCCCTTTCACCTTTCGGCCCAGTTAAACCAGGAACACTTACACCAGGTGGCCCAAGTGAACCTTTCTGCCCAACTGGACCTGCTGGTCCTAGCTTTCCTGGAAAGCCTGGTTCTCCTTTGTTTCCTTTTGCTCCAATTATTCCTATTTCCCCTTTTTCTCCTTGAATTCCTTTTTCTCCACTGTTGCCTGAATCACCTTTAGGCCCCTGTTCACCTGTCTGTCCTGGTAATCCTGGAATTCCATGTTCTCCATTCTGACCCGGTATACCATAACCAGGCATGCCAGGCATGCCAGGGAGTCCTGGGCAGCAGCTGCAGCATGGAAGATTTGCTTGTATGTGTTGATTGGCATCAGTATCATTAGCCACTAGTTGTCCAAGTACAGCTGGAGATTGTAGCAGAATGTCTCCACTCAGAAGGCAAAGGAGCAGCTTGATAGCATTTAAATTCATCTGGAAGTGTGAATAAAATAACAAATGTCTTTTTTTTTTATATCTGTCTTGGATATAAATTAACAGAAGCAAAATTTTGTAACTTGAATTATTTTAGCAGGCAAAATTGGGTGCTGCTATTAAATTCCCTCACATCTTTTTAGTAGGTCAGTTTTGCCAGTCTACATTTTAAGCCAAATTACACAAATCAGCAGTGATGTAGATAGTCAGTGATTGAGATACCTGCAGGTGCAGACACAATATAGTTGTAGACATAATCACTGGGACAAGGCAATGCGACATTGTTCATCCAGAGTATTCTGGCAGACACTACAAGATGTATGGCTGTCAGTGTCAAACTCAATACCAGACAAGACAATGCTTGACCAGACTTGAGTCTAATTTTAACAGACATGGAAGACACATAGTTTGATCAGATATAAGTACAATAAAACCTTTATAAAAGGGGACATCCTGTGGATCAAAAAATGTGTCCCCTAAAATAGGGGTGTCCGCAAACCAAAAAATGTGAAATATGGGTGTTTTAACATGTTTTTGTACAATATGACATAGATTCTTTGTAATTTTATTTTAGCTTAAGAATGAGGTATATTGAATTTTAACTAATTTCTATCAGTAGTTTACATTGCAAAAACAATTAATTTATGATATTATATCAACAAAATTGTTATTAAAACAACAAAAGTTGTATATTTTCCCAATATTGTTTCAGGATTCACGAGCAATGTTAATAACCAAATATTCTTTTATAAAAATATATTGAGCTCAATGCACATGAAACAATAGCATGAATAGAGTTATAAATCAGGGCACAGGCTATGTGGTATAGATCCTATATAAAAGTACACAAAATTGACAAGATTTTATTTAGAAGTAAGTAACACAGGCCAATGTTTATTCTAGATATTGAGAGGAAAAAATCTGGTTTGATTGGTGAAGTTTATTGCTCAAAAATGTGTCAAAATATAAATTGGAATGAATTTTTCTTTCGGTAAGTACTGTACAATAGTTTGATACAATAAAATAAATTATTAAAGTGTCCCATAATAAGGGTTTAATAATTATGTATTGATTTGACCATTTGGCACATTTAGAGAGTGTCCGCGTCTCCTTAATAAGGGTGGTCCCATTTAGTCTTTGGCCATAGTGTTAAAAGATGATTTTATTCCCTATCGTTTCATGGAAATGGTGTCCACTGAATAGTGGTGTCCCCTAAATAGGGGTGTCCCAAAGGAGGGGTTCTACTCGATGTTTGCAGTAAAAGCATCTGTCAGGCAATCATACCGTGAAAAATATACCATTAAGTCTACGACTGACTTTGAATCTAAATCTATACTATATTGTGTCACTAAAATAATAACAATATCTTCAATATTTCTTCAACATACCTTATTCTTAGCAAATGATGCAACTGTTCTTCAGACAATCAAAATGAACTTGTCTGTAATTGTACTGTAACAATTGATTGGCTTCCTTACAGTGTTATGTACTAGCTGCAAATGAGAATTTTGACTTGTGTTAGGACCCTCAATCCTAACTACATTTAAAAAATGATTTATTGTCTTGGTAGGGGATGGGAAAATGTTAGAGATCACCTTGCAATTTGCTTGTTTTGAACTCTAGTTTAAGCCTTCCTTCAAATGTTTATGTATAACAACCATGTGTTTACGAGTGTTTACTGAAGTTCTCTCCTCTGTGAACATGATAGTTCAACAAGGTTGTAGTTTCTAGAACTTTGTTTTAGAATTTGGCACAATGCAAAACATGTTCTATCTGTTTTTCTATCTATTTTTCATGTCTTTGTTATGATGAATACTTATAAACTGATGAGAGCATTTGTATATGGTGCACAAATGGGTGATTCTATTATTTTTTTAGGGGTAGAAAATATCACAATTGAAATTCCACATACAATATCCAGACTGTAAACTCAGCACCAGACTTTATTCATGTCTTCACAGACCATTTATACAAAGAGTGAGGCAAACTTATATGGTAATGATAATTTACTGTAAAATTTTGAGGACACTGTTTATTGGGAAATAATGACCAAAATAGGAATATTAATGCATGGAAAATTGCGTGGAGGCAAGTTTTGAATAATAATAGTAATAGTTCATTCTTATATAGCCCATATAAGCAAGTTTCGATGCACTGTACATAAAAATCAGAAGATGGATGCACATTAATGGTAGCTCCTCAGGTCACTATTTTTCCAATCAGTACCTGAGAAACATATTGCACTTTAATTGTCAAGACGCAGTAAAATGAGTTCACAGGCACAGCAGCATAGTAGGCTCTTAGGATAGCATGCACTAAGTAATTATTGTTTGTCAGAGATAGAAAAAAACATTAAAAGTAACCATGTTATTCAGATATATTTTATTCAGAATTCATACAATTGAATTGTAAAGTACATTACATAAGTATAAAGATAGACAAAAGTATTAAATATATTAAAATTTGTAAAAGGTTAAGAGAAAAAAAAATCATTTTTTATACTTATTATAATAGAGGCTGGCTGCCTGACCAAATTGACCATACTGGCTAGGTTTCACATAGCTGGTTACAATGTTTTTTCCATTTTTCCTCAACTGAACAATTCCAAAATCCCCTCCACGAATATGATAACTGTAACTGAAGAAGTACACACCTGGGATGGTGCTGGTGAAGACACCTGTACTTACATTGTAGTTGCTGCCAATATTTAGTTCAACAAGATTTAGTTTGATGATGAGATTGCTCGTGGAGAGTTTAATATATCCATTAGTGCCTATCTCGGTGAAAGCACATCTCCTTTGCACAGGGGCAGAGCCTACAGGTCCAGGACTGCCTGGCATCCCTATTTGACCAACTTCACCTTGTTCACCTTTTGGTCCAATTGCACCAGGAACACCTACACCAGGTGGCCCATGTGAACCTTTCTGCCCAACTGGACCTGCTGGTCCTAGCTCTCCAGGAAAGCCTGGTTCTCCTTTTTTACCTTTTGCTCCGGTTATACCTATCTCCCCTTTTTCTCCTTGAATTCCTTTTTCCCCACTGTTGCCTGAATCACCTCTGGGCCCCTGTTCACCTGCCTGTCCTGGTAATCCTGGAATTCCATGTTCTCCATTCTGACCGGTATACCATAACCAGGTATGCCAGGCATTCCTTGGAGTCCTGGGCAGCAGCTGTGGCATGGAATATTTGCTTGGATGTGTTGGTTGGCATTGTTTCATTGTCTTGGTAGAGGATAGGAAAAGGTCATCTCCATCCCCTACCAAGACAATAAATAATTTGAAATCTAGTGAGGATTTAGGATCTTAACTCAAAGTCAAAATTCTCATTTGCTTGAACTCTAATTCAATAACAAACGATTTGTAAGTTGACCTTCAACTTTTCCCTATCCCCTGCAAAATCATTTTTTAATGTAGTTAGGATTGAGGGTCTTAACTCAAGTAAAACATTTGTTTAGAAAACAAACAATTTGTAAGTTGATCGTTCTTCCATCTCCAACAAAATGAAAAAAAAAAATCATTTTTAATGGAGCTATGATTGAAGGCCTATGTCATAAATGACTTTGGAGAGGGCATTCATATGGTGCACAAGTGGGTAATTCTGTTATCTTTCAGTGATGTTGAATTTGAGTTTATCCAGGTCATTTCAGTTATTGACTACGGTACATACGTACCAAACATCACCATTGAAAGTTTTTGTTGTCATACAGATCAGGGCACATGGGGTGCCAAACTGAAGGGGTCGTCAAACTGAAGTGGTGCCAAACTGAAGGGGGTGCCAAAATGAGCACGAACAAAAAATTATATAGGGCATTCCAAAACCAACAACAGTGGCCAAGACAATGACTTTTTAATACACATATTCATATTCTCCACATTATAAGATTTAAAATGATTTACTGAAATCGACTTATATCAAAGTGAAAATATTATGACTTCTGTGTACTAAATTATCAACTGCCACAATCTTATGTTCATTACTCAGCTTAACATTTAGTGACAGTGTGCTGGTTTTGGCATGGCATGCCTCATATATTCAGTGTCGTATCTAGGGGGTGCGGAGGGGCACGCCCCAAAAAAATTACTTGTGCCCCCCCCAATCATAGACTAGTAGTTAAGAATCCCCATATTTTGCGAATTGGTGCCCCTCAACTGATCATCAAGCCGGCCCCCCTCTCTTATTAGCACCCCCATTTAAAGACCTCTAGATACGCCACTGCATGTATATTATTACAGTAGCTACATATTCACATTACAGTTTTGAATGTTTGCATGTTTTTTAGATTGATAAAGTTAACTGAGGAATTGATCATGCAATGTGCCAACACCAACTCGTTGCTGGGTCTGACAGTGTTGAATCTGAATGGTAACAGCCTAGCAAAGTTGAAGCATGTGGCCACGTTGGCATCCCTCAAGAAACCAGTACCAGCCATCTCTTGTATGCCCACAACGGCAGCTGTATGAACCACCCCCTACTTGTCTCGAAAGATATACTGGGTTCTTTATAGAGCACACGAGCCATTGTGTCCACTAAGCTAGAAGACATCTCACATGGTATCTATTATTATTATTTATTAATTAATATTATTATTATTTATTAATTAATATTATTATTATTTATTAATTAATATTATTATTATTACTATAATTGGCTTTTCCCAGCAGTACTGGGAAAAGCCATTTTTGTTCTGATTTTTTTTTTCTTTTTTCTTGCATATATTTTTCCTATCTTTTTGCACTGTTTTTTTCTGGCCGTCACTTTGGTCACTTCCCATGCTTAAAATTTTTCCATGCTTTGCCGAAGCATAGGCCATATATCAAGGATGTGCCTCCTAATATTTAGTGTCGGGAACTTTCAGGAAAGTTTAACCAAGTTATAAGGAAGATAGTATTATGTGTTGGTGACGAATCAGTCAAGGGTGTACATTGGAGGGTCATTTAAATTCCTTACGTCCCTGTTATAGATGGATAAAAATGACACTTTGCAGAATAGTTTTTCGTGTTGAAATGAAGAAATGATCCAATTTTGGTGACGATCTGCAGTAGGGTGTAGATGTGAGGACCATTTAAAGATTTTTTGATGACAGTTGATTAAATTATTTAAATGCAATTTGTGTTTTCTAAAGCATTTAAACCAGTTACAGGTAGGTTAAACTAAAAACTACCATGATATGCGTGAACAATTTTGCTTTCAGTCATTGAATCGCTATGAACTGAAAATGCACGTTCCTTTGCAAGGTCGGCCCATACAGTGCGCAATGGTTATGGGTCACGATGTACCTCGCTATTACCATTGCAGCCATAGTTCTCACTAATAACGTCGCAGTGAACTTGGTTTTTGTTGTTTTTAAAAAAAAATGTTTTCCACTTCATTTTTTCCTACTTCATTAAAATGTTATTGGTTTTCCATGTTTTTTTAACTTTATACCTTTTAACGACTTCTCTTTTTTTTACAATTTCAACTTCATTTCTCATTAAAGCAATGGGGAAAAGCCCTATGTTCTGTTGTTCAGACAGACATAGTAAGTCTAGTTATTATTTTCATTATCATCTATTTGCTCATTTTTAAAAATAACCATATCATTGATGCTCTATATTAACGGGTAGGCATAAAATATTTGGAGGGTTTTCTGGTTTAACAGTAAAGGTAGACCTTTCAAGGAAACTTATGCACTAATTTTATACCTCTGTATGCTCATTGCTATATATCATAGGCTGTTCTGGCCACATGCCACATATAATATGCCAACCAATAATAACATTCCTTATTTCTTTCTCTTGTAAAATGTTAACAATCAATCATTATTATTGTTTTCAAACTGTTATGAGCATGTATAGTATAATAATAATACTGTAAGAGTAGTGAACATTGCAGTAGTAGTAAATTTATATGATGCCTCTTTATTATTTTCGCGACAAAAATTTAGTTTGTCAATCATTTGAATCTTTTTTAAATATTCATGAGCCTACTACTTAAGCACTGCATCTGAACCATGCCAATGTACAAAATGTTTAGCCATGCTCCAGAGGAAAAAAAAAGGTTTTGATATATTGTACAACTGATTTTTCTAAGATACAAAAAGCATATTTGACGAAAAACTCGGGAGCAGAGATAGATTTTTTTGTGAAGTATGCTTTTCGTGTCGTAAGAAACATCAGTTGTGCAACATAGCGCAACATTTTTTCCCCCCAGAGCCTAGCTTTAATAACAATTTTTAAATATAAAGATATTTTTAATTTTTTAAATTATTTTGATTAAGTCTCCTATTTAATGGACTTAAAATAAATTTTTCTTCACAATTATATCCCATTATATTTTTATTTTCAGACTGACGTTTGCAGCCTACAATTTCTAGATTGTAAATAATTTTTATGTTAAAGGGATAACAGCAAAATGCATGCTTTGTACGTAGTTAATACATTTTTGACAACTGTTGATTCTGATGGAAATAATGTTCATAGATAGATAACAAAAGGGTAAATGTTAAAATACAGTATTTACGCTGATATTTGAATAAAAAAAATCCCAGAGTCAATTGTATATACTTTCAGTCATGTACTGTTACTATTTACTTATACACTTACCAACTTGTACATAACATTCTTTATACACTTGAAAACAGGCAAGGATCGATTTAACAATGGACGGATTTGGTTATTAATTTGATCTCTCTATGTGCTTTGTTGTAATGTAAAACTAATATTTAAAAACCTATATATTCAAGGCACTACACACTGCCCTTGATGGATAAAAGCACTCGGAAAGATGGAGATATTACCCTGTGGGGAGTTGAAGGCACTTTCCAACTACCCCTGATAGATAAAAAGGCAGACAATTGCCCAGAGTAGATGGATCCACTATCCCAGACTGCCTGATGTAGACCACCCCAGAGAAGCCTGGAAGGAAGCTTTCACCTGCATTATCTAATATTGGGAGATTTTACTCTTGCACAGCAAATACTAATAGTAATTATTAATAGCAATGCTGGTTTTTATATCAATGTACATGTATTTGTTAACAGCTTTGTAGATGACAGCACCAATGAATCACACTGAGAGGAGTAATTAAAAACCAGGAAGGAAGCACTCTCCAGCATCATGCTTTGGTAGATTAGTATTTTACACAGCAGATAAATATATTTCTGCTCTCTCTTTAGTTTTCATGTCAATATGTTTGTTAATAGCTTTGTAGATGACAGCACAAATGAACCACACTAAAGAGGAATCTCTTAAAACTTGGAAGGCAGCTCTCACCAGCATCATAATTAATGCTTTGTAAGATTTCAATGGTTCAGATATTAATACTCCTGCTCTCTGTCTTTAGTATTCATGTCCATGTGTTTGTTAACAGCTTTGTAGATGGCTAGCTTCACCGTGACAGCTGCCAACAGCTCTAATGCAGTGTCATAAAGACCATAATCTTGACAACTTTCGATGATCTCAAGCCACTCTTCTGGGCTGGTTTCCTGGTCAAGGTACACTGCTTCTTTCAAACTCACAGTATCTGCAAGAGTATTCCAAAAATGAAAATCATTAACATCTCAACACAGGGGCGGATCCAGAGATGTCCAAAGAGGGGGGGGGGGGGCACGAAAGTTGGGCCAGTCGAGATAACACTGTACTGGTCTGGGAGAATGCCCGAAAATAGCATTTAAGGCGTTCTGGGCTATTCTTTTTGTTACCTCCCAAAAAGGCGGGGATGCCCCCAATCTGCCCCTGCAACATTTTAAAGATATATAATAAAGACAGCAACATATATATAATTTCATATAATGTTGACTATAATGTTAAATATACAGGCCTCCCTCTAATTAAAGACTCCTCCAATTACAGAACCCCTTTTCTGTGGTCCCAAATTCACAAGTCTTTTATATTAATTATTCTAATTAGGGAGGTCCCAAAATTGGAGGGACACCTGTATTTCAATCTCAAACATTAATTATTACCTTCTATTTTGCCCAAAGCAATGTTTTCTATCAGTTCTAAGCCAACCTCAAAAGACTCTGTGGCAAGCAGTGTCTGGACCACTACTCCAAAGGACAGGAGAATCTCACCCTCGGGTCCTTTTAATTTCACCATCTCTTCAGCTAAGCGCTGGCTTGGGCAAGCTGTTAGAACAGCTAGATAGGCATCTGTAAGTATTGAAAATGAAAGGATAAAAAAGGTGTAGAAGTTGTAGATTGAATTACAATGCAATTTAACTCTGTACTGCAGTATTTTTATATATTTATTCCAAATACATTCAATTTACATACTAATTGATGGAAAACTGTGACAGTAAGGAAGTTGGATTAAAAAAAAAGAACTGCATAGTGGCAGATGTACAAATCAAGAGGTGTAACATTATAATAATTGAAATGTCGCACGATATAGGCCCTCCATGACAAAAGAAAGCAACTGAAGTTTTCATTGTGTTGAGTAATTAAGGAGTATAAATTTGTATATTAGCCAGCTCCTATTTTCTTATCATTTTTAATCCGAATAGATTCACACAAGTTACTTTCAAGGACAAATTATGAATGGTAAACTTATCGTCATTAAACAAAATTAAAAAAATTACAGGGAAGCACTAAGGGTGATAAAAATTATTGGAAAATAATACCAATCCCTAATAGTGATTACCCACCTTTAGTAAACCTGTTACTACCTGCGTACTCAACCATCGCAAGGATCCTGTTCTGCCGACACATGCACACGCAAGCCTGCACATGAGCATTTACACGTGCGTATGTCTTCTGAGCAAGGCCCATGACTGTCCTAATCACATCCTCTTTCTTTCCTTCAGCATAGTTGTATAGTGCATTTCCCAATACGTCGGTACATGTTAATCTAGCGAAAAGATGATGAGAAATGAAAAGCTAATGTTCATGCAAAGAAACTGTCATTATATATATCATACATAAAGTTATTACTGCTATTATTTGCTGCCAGGCCTGATTGCTACCACAAGACAAATATTACAAATCATTCACACCCTACCAGATTGCCTATTTATGCCTCTGTGTGAAGAGAGGCAACCATTACATCTGAGCAAGAATCAGTGCAAACACAAGATCACTAAAATTAGAAACTCAACCTCTGTCCCACATGGATTTGGAAAGGATAATCCACACAAATAAAAGAATGGGATCCATCTTTAATGAGTTTAGGCAGTACAACCTCCTGCTCTTTAGTCTACCTCATGGCACATAGGACAAATCCGACTGTGACTCCTCTTGTAACTTTTCAGCCCTTAAGCTTTTAAAATTAATTTGCCTTAATCTACCTAATTCAACTTTTTTTCATTCATTATGATATATTTATATATTGTTTTTTTTTAATGTAATTTTAACTGGTGGCCATGGCTTAAGGTTTTATTCCAAACTTATTTTGGCCGCCACACACCTTTTCTGTATTGTATTATTAGTTCTTTTTACTATTAAGCTTGTGTGATATGTATGTGCATGTGTGTGGAAAATAAATAAAACAAACAAACAAGCTTTAAGACAAAAGCGCTGTCAAGACTATACAATTTTATTTCACAAAAATATGTGACATATCTAAATATGGCCATGATGACAACACATCATGACCATATATAGGTCATAGGATTTGAAATACCATACACTGTACCTTTCCTGGGCAAGCCAGTGATAGATCAGATCTAGCCTCTCCTCCTTCAGTGCACACTTCACACATTCTAATGATGTAGAGGCATCTGGAACCACTCCAACTGCTGGAACAGAGTCTATCAAAACTTCACAATATGACAATAAGGGTGACTTCTCCCCTGGCTTCACCTTCAAAGCTGTGAACAAATAGTAATAAAATTGATTGATTTTGAAATAAACCATAAGAGGGTGCCATATATTCATAGAAGAATGCAGCTCATATTGTGTGACCAAGTGATGCCAAGAACAGTAGACCACACTATAACTAGAGTAGGCCATAGAGTGCATACCTCTCTGCCCTGTGCCTGGATAACGAACAATGCACAGGTTGTGTATGGACGATTCCATTATTTTCTGTTATGCTTGAGGGAAAAAAAAAAAATTATAATTCCATGACCTTGTCCTGTGACCATCTCTTAGGTGACAGTCACACTACAGCCTCAAGCCTATAGCTTGACTCAGTACAGCACAGTTGAGAAATTTGGAGTCTGAAGCAACTTGGGTTGACTCATGCCTGGTTGAAATTGCACTCAACCAGGCAAGATGTGTCCAGATTGACCCTTGGTTGACCCAGAATTCCAAAATGTGACCAATCAGCTGGCAGTACAATGTTCATGCTCAAAGATTTCTAATACTGTATCTGAATTAGGTCAACCCAGGGAAGTGTGGACACTGAACTTTCAAGCCAGGCTCAAGGCTCTGGTGTGACCTTAATAACAGATGACAGCTGTGAATACATAACCTTTGGCGGAGGTAATAATCAATGAATAGACAACAATTAGTGAGTATGAGATTCTGATGACTACATACCTTTGAAACGCTCCATTGTCTCTGTGTTTCTCAGGATACCTTTCGGGCTGTTGGCTGCATGCATTGCTGCCTGTACATACTTCTTATCTTCAAACAAAGCATTATAATGTTCAATGTAGTCCAGAAGTAATTCAGCCTCTTTTTCCTTGGTGGGATCGTCATCATCAAACGATGTTACAGTTTCTTGGCCTAGGAACAAATTGAAATGAAAAATAATTTTGATTAAATTTGATTTATTATTGGTAGGGTTGATGAGGGTGAATAGTGGAGAGAAAGTAGTAGAGGAAATGAAGAGTGGTATGAAAATTGTAGCATGGAAAGTGTAACAGTAGTAGAGAAAGTGTAACAGGGTTGATTCAACTCAGGAAATTTACAAAAAGGTAACCAAAAGAAATAAAACCTCCCCAGAAGCCTCATGAATATCATATGGTAGGGAGTTTCAGGGATCCCATGTTTAAGAAATCACTTCCAGAGATCTGGTTAAATGAACTTTCTAACATATTTAATTTTGCTGCAAATGGTGATACCTAGCAACATTGACTTTCATGACTTTTATTCTTTTATGTTAATCTTATATGTTTGTGAACTACTGATTTTTTTTTTTGTATTTGTTATGTTTCATATTATTTGTATTTGCTAGAATGAACAAAATAAAATAAGACAATTGATAAATAGAAAGCCAAAAAATACAAATACTTTATAAGTTTGCGGAAGATGGTTATTTTCTGGGGGAATCTTGCCCGTGGGAGTGTAGGCTGTCCAGATTCTCGCGACTTACCAGAGATGTGGGACTCCCAGGGTTTACACTGGATGAATTGCCACAAATAAATTCAAACAAGTATTAAAGAGATGCCAAACTTACTTGTTAGGCTCATCTTGGACGTAGATCTTGCAAAGGCTGTGGCAATAATCTCAAAAGCAGGCTGACTCCAGTCTCCTTCCCGGTAGTGAGTCTTGAGAGCATCAAGAGCTAGTCTCAGCTTCCAACACCTAGCCTTCAGTTGCTCATTTACTTCTGACACCCTGTCCATGGCCTGGATCTTGCTGCTCAGCTGCTGCTTCAGGTCTTCTTTGAACTCGCGTGGCATGTAGCGTGTGTTCTTGCTAATGATCAGGTTTTTCATTCGCAGTTCTAGCTCCTGCATTGTCTTTTTCAGGACACCCAAGTCGGTGGATTCCTCAATTGATAAACCTGAAAATTGCAAAGAAGGGAATTTTCCATATAAGGCAGTAATCGAGAGAGTGTAGATTTGGCCATATTTGAAAGTATAGAAAACCTATAACTAAAAGTTTAATACTTTACCTGGAATGGGCAAGTTGGGATTAACTTTGGTGATCTTTTTTGAAACTTTCTTCTCATTCAGTATCTGCAGCATGTCTTGTCTCTTCCTTCTCTCCATTATTATGTCATTCAACTCCTTCTGTAGGCGTTCATTGTCTGCCTTTATTATTGATATTCTAAATAAAATGAAATTATTAATAACAGTGAATAATCAATGTGTTCCTCAAATTAAGTCTAAAGGTACTCAGATCTGCGTTAGTGGTAGTCAGTGGCAGCACCAGTGGACGGCTATTAAGCCTCCATTGGATACAACAAATCCCTGGTATCAGCCATGACTCAGAGCAAATATTATTTTTTGGGGCATATTGTAATTTCTAAAATGTTTGTTCATCTGTGGCTCCAGAAATTGTCATCAGGGTCCAAACCAAGAGGTCCAACTAGAGCCTCGGCCAGGGTCCCAGAATATTAGGGAGCTTTTGATTGCACAACGACGGTAGGACGTAGAACGAAATGAGGTCACTAAAAGTCATATGTGCATGTGAGAATTTTAAGGTCACCTCGTCGAGTAGATTCTGGAACGCAATTTGGCCAAACCTGCGTATGCAGAGAATGTAGGATGGCAGGTAGGACGGTCACACATGAGTGATTCTGTTCTAGCGTCGTGTCATCGCACATATATCGAAAGCTCCCTAATCTCTGGTAGGGTTCATGGGGAGAGTTTTTATGGCCTAGTATGGACCAAAATGTGCTTTTAGACAACAATATTAGGGATTGGCAATCAAAATAACGTTATTTGGAGAGGCAAATTATTACTTTTAATCCAACAACCTTGTCGTGGTGTTGAATGACGAGGGCTCCAGGCCTGTTCGATGGGGGAAAATGCCCCTCTGCTGTACATTCTAATATTCAATAGGTGTGGGGCAGCACAGCCAATGAAAGGGATGCAGATATAAGGAAGTTTATACTGTATTTTTATTTTATTTTTTTATCGGTATCACTCTCAGGATGCATGCTCACTAATACTAAATCATACTGATACACACTGGGCTGTGATTTCAAAATTGAGGTTCAACTAAACTTTGATAATTGTTCAAACACATTCTATTCTACCAATTACAAGGATGGAAACTAAGCATGTTTACAACAGGTATCATGGGACTGTTTACTTACTTGTCTTCTAGTTCAACTGCTCTTCTCCGATAGTTGCTCACTGTGGTTTTTTCAGCTGCCATAGACGTCACCTTTCCTCTCAAATAAAATGCATCCATCTGCCCCTGTTTCACGGCATTGATGCAGTCTTCATATTCCACTTTAACCATTGTCAGTAAAGGTCGGTAGGCAGAAACATAATCAATAAGCTGTAAAAAATATTTAAATATTTTAATCAAATCATAATTAATATTTATTCAATTTATTTATTTAATGACAGCTTAAAAAGTTATAAAATTGTAACTAGCAGGCCTATAATTTATGCAAATAAAAACCATATTACTGTATTCATTAATTTTTTTGAGAACATTGACCCACCTGATCAAATGCCTGTTTGTAGATATGGTAACGAATCTCATTAGGTCCAGAATTGGGACAATCCAGTCTTTTCAACTCACACTGAATGAAGCCATCAAGATGAAGAAGGAATTTCTTGTCCGCATCGCTGCAGATAGGTGGGAGAACACGTCTACCAGCTGAGCCTGGCTTATTCTGCATTATCACTTCTGAAATTAAAGTCTAAAATTAAGTGAACTATAAAAATAATCTAAAACTAAATTATTATTATCTATTAAACTGTATATTACTAGGCTAGGCCTAGTCCTTGGCTAAATCTGAAATGTACAACAATGATTTTTGAACAGTGGCATATCTAGGGGATGAGCGGGGAAGGGGGATGGGTGCACACCCCTCTAAGAATTACTCTCGTCCCCGGCCAGTCGCCACCAACCCCCCCAAAAAAAAAAAAAAATCAGTCAAGTTGTGTCATAAAATAAATTCATTAACACAGTACTTCATTCAACATAGAGCATGTACCTTTTTATTCATCATGCTCGTCACTAAGCAACTGCACATCGAGGCGCTCCCCCTCCCCTCCCATCAGTACCCCAATTTCAAGACTTCTGGGCCTAGCTAGGCCCTACCTAGGCCCCATACGTCACTGATTTTGAACCTTATTTTTACTGCAAAAAAAAAGGTACAAACTCATTACTTAACTAAGCCTTTCCTACACAACAATAAAACTATAAAGCTAGGCCCACACCTGTCAACAAATACATCAATTTCTGCTCTGGTTTTGTCTTGCACACATCAATTAGTTCATGCCTTGCTACGAACTTGATGGGCCTACAGCCGGCCTAGCATAGCCTTGTATATTTGCAAACCGTACGTCCTGTATATCGTTTGTACGTATAGATTTCCAACATACTGGTTTCGATTTACATTACTAAATATAATATAATACTTTTTAGAAATTCAAAAATTAAAACCAATGTAAAATTTAGCAACAAACTGTAAAGTTACGTACCTCTAATCTAGCCCTAGCTAGGCCCTACTCATTCAGCATCTGTCAACCAGAATCTGACGTCACGATATTACTTGGTGACGGTAAACTAAAGAAGATTCCTTCATTTTGTGTCTCGCTGTCTGCTGTCTGTCTAGTCTTTCGTATTCAGTAAAATTATTAACAGGATAAATGCTACATTAGACATAAACAATATCAGAAATGCCTAAGGGGTAATGTATTTAGTATTAAATGTTATGTTAAATGGGGTTTTTTTTAATGAAAAATGTGATGATTGGGAGTTAAATGTAATGTATTTTATGTAGGCCAGACAGTGTTCACGTTTATCAAAATTCATTGCGAGTCACACGGGAAAGAGGCAATTGAGAGTGGGTAGCAGAGCAGTGATGGTATATCTAGCTATGCCATTGCATGGCCTAGCTCTTCCCACGCATTTGAGTTCGTTAGCTGGTGTATATTTCCTTTCATTCTTGTGATATCTAGCCTAGAGGCTTTAAGCCTATATTTACTACTGTTATTACATGTATTTAATATAATCATTTTATTAATTTTATTTTAGGGCAGGAAAGTGGCAATGCAGGAAGCCCTCGTCGTGTGTGTGTGGGCCGGGTGTCTAGGATACTCCCCTAGCAGCTAGCATAGGCTAGGCCTAAAAAGAGAGTCCTATGCCTTACTACCCATACCAGGGAGTTGTTATTTAGAAAATAACAACTCCCTGCCCATACCAAGTTATAAACCTCATAAATTCTTTTTTTAGGATTTTATCTAGGAGTCACTTACTCGCTATGTTCCTATGTTTCTCCAGAAGAGAAATTAGGCCTATATTTTTTCTAAATTAAAATTGTAGGGAAAAGGTACTCTGGGATATATCTGTATATGAATCTGAAAAGACAGAAAAAGCACAGAAAGAGAAAGAAGGTAGGTAGCCCCCTCAAGATCAAAGTTTTATATATTATATATTATGTTCGCAAACTTATTTTTTTTAAGATCATCAGAAGAGGGTGGGAAAAAAAAAAAAAAATAAAAAATAATGAAAATATAATTGTGGTTTTTTTTTTCATTTAGCAAATGGTTTTGCCAAAAACATCCAGATGGAGGAGAAAATAAAATGTTAGATGGTGAATGTTAACAGTGTAATAATGGGATGGTTAAATGCCTTAAATTTATTTAGTTAGAAAGAAATATACATATCTTATTTTTGGAAAGTTCAAGGCAGCTGTAAGTGTAATAAAAATATAATTTTATTTTTTTCATTTTTATTTGAAATCACCATTATTGGCGGGCAGTGGGTTCGCTTAAAAAATGTATAAAATGATCAAATTTATAAACCAGGCAGCATCGTTTGATCATGATGTATGAATGAATGTTGTGTCAGCATACAAATGGATTCTTAAAATCATCATTTAAAAAGATTTAAATGTGATTTGCAGTTTTTATGTTCAACAGAAATACAATACAATAACCTTTATTGCAAGCGGTAATATAAATCATAAATATTTAATGAAAATTCTCAAATAATTAAGATATTAAAGGCTAAATAATTAAAATATTTGTCTATTATCACTACTAAAACTAGTATAATACTACTATTATTATCATTACTATTTATTATTTTAATTTATTATTATTATTAAAATACCAATGATGTACATATTTTATTGCATTATTTTTTTGATAGCTACTGAAGATGGCAAGATAGGAGATGAGGCTAGTATACTATTTTTTGGAGGCAAGGAATCAGTAAGTCTTATTGTTTGTAATGTAATTTTAAATACATCTATTCATTTTTTAAAAAAATTCTGTAATTGTTCACACAAATAGTTCACCAAAATCATACCCAATGGAATAGTTTACCTCACAGGAATTTTTTTTTTTTTAGGGCAAAACAACAATTATCTGCAGGTTTCTGGACCGAGAAGACATCCCAAAGTCTACCATTGCTCTTGAGTATACATTTGGTAGAAGAGCGAAAGGCCACAACTTGGTAAGAATGATAAACTAAAGATTTCTAGTAACTATACCTATGCTACGGAGGACCTGAGGTCAGGTCAAAATGTTCATGTGAAAATAAAATTGTGTTCTAAAAGTCAACTCTGTTTTCTGTTTTCTTTCTATATGCTACATCACAAATGTTTGTTTGGTGGCAGTTTATTTTTATGGACACTGTTGTTTGTTTACATTTAATTCTTATATCCATACTGTAATTGTTTTTATGAATATAAATTAATGATTTGAATTGGATTGATTGTTGAATGTTTTGTTAATTTAGAAAATTAGAATACATTTTTGTCGTCTTTTTTAAAATTCTTTTTAAAGGGAAAAGATATTGGACACATCTGGGAATTAGGAGGAGGCACCAACATGACTCAGCTCCTGGAAGTTCCTATTAACTTGACAAACATTATGTAAGTTACTCTTACTAATAATAATATAGATATTTCTGATACTTTATTATACAATTAAATACAACCATCTTGCCATAAATTGAAAATAAAAAACTTCAGCAAAGGCATTGATTTTGAATGAATTGGTAGAGAGAAGTGATAATATATCTGCAAAGCAATGATGCATACTATTTAGTGGTATGCGAGTATACTCTATTAATAGAGGTTATGCACAGTACCGGAAGATGATGTTGATCATTATTATTATCATCATCGTCCTCAGCACTGCATCATCATCATAATCATCATACTCACCATCATCATCATCATTATCATCGTCATCATCATAATCATCATCATCATAATCATCATTATCATCGTCTTCATCATAATCACCATCATAATCATCATCACCACCATCATAATCTTCACCATAAATCCTAACAGCTTTTATCAAAATGCTTACAGTACAACCATTTTCAATGCCAGTTTTTCAAAGTTATCAAATTTATTATATTACCGGCAGTCATTGAGAAACATTTTTGAAACTATACCAGAGTGAAAAGCTTTATATACAATGAATCATTTTTAGGACACTATCATTGGTGTTAGTGGTGGACCTGTCAAGACCAGAAGTAATGTGGACAACACTGGAGGTCTTGCTGAGAGCCGTTACCGAACGTGTCAATCAAGTGGTCAAGAAACTCTCAGTTGAAGATCCACAAATTGAAGAGAAACTGAAGAGGAAGGCGTGGAGTAGGTTTACTCAAGAGCATCCCGTGAGTAAACTGTTGTAGGAGAGTTTGGTGGCTAGAGTCCTTAAACCAGGCACTCACTTTGTCGTAAGACCGTCGGCCGACAAATCTAACTCCGTTCCCAGTGAGCGCTAGACAACACGACACTGTCTTCTGATTGTCGGTTGCAGTCTGAATGCATCGTCATTAAAAACGTCATTAACTTCCAATCTGAGCCATCAACTCATGCTAGCTCTAATCTGAGCTATCTACTCTTAATCTTATCCAAATCAAATCCAGTCTGAGATTAAGTCACTTATGTCTGGCAGACAAACTGTTGGGTATAGCAACATGTTCCTCCTTTGTTCTGACTCTATCCTCTTTTTTTTGTATGATTTTGTAAATTTGTAGGAAATAAAGATATTATTTTCTCTCAGTCTCTTGATGAACTCCCAATTCCAGCTATCGGCTGCCAGTTAGAGCCATAATAATAATATCTTTATTTTGAAACACAATACTTAATCATTTGTGCCGGTCATTTTAAAGGTTAAATGAATGCTTTGAAATGAAATGTCAACTCACAATTCAAGCTATCAACTCCCAATCTGAGCTTTCAACTCCCAATTTGGGCTCTGAACTAACAATCTGAGCTGTCAACTCTCAGTACAAGCTAATAATAATTCAACATTTTATAAAGTGCTCTTTTCATTACTGTAGTTTATAACTAAATACATAACTGGACAGTTTATTTCACTTGTATTTTCCAAATGACGTTCTTTTTTAATTTAAACAAATATTATAATGAATATTTAATCTATTGCTTTTGCAGGACAGAGGCTTAATTGAACCCTCTTTAGTACCCTTGGTGATTATAGGCACAAAGTACGATCTTTATCAAGTAAGTACAGACATTAATCCCATCCACTACCACCCCAAATCTTCCATAGGCTGCCAGTACCCTACCTCTGGTCTATGGAATGTCTACCACAATTCATAAGTTAATTAATTAATTTTTTCACTCAATTTAGAATTTGGACTCTGAGAAGAGAAAAGTGATCAGTCGAACCTTACGATTTGTGGCCCATAATTACGGAGGGGCATTGTTGGTATGTAATTTTATATATGACAATTGTAATAGTGATTGATAATGATATACTCTTATACTCTTGGCTCATGTTTCATTCTGTTGCTAAAATTTGTCGCTGAAAAAATAATGCATAAACTATCATATGATTATGTTTCATTTGAGTGAAGGTGATTCACAATTAAGAATCTATTTTGAACAAATAATTAAATGCTGATTATTTTTTTGAAAATGAATGTAGTTCTGCAGCTCCAAGAATGAGCCAATGATGACAAGAACGAGGTCATTAGTTAGCCATCTTGTGTTTGGAACAACTTTGAAGTAAGTACTGAAATTATTTTGATAAAAAAATTAATTAAACATTGAATTACTCATATATAGCGGGAAACAATAATGTTATTAACTTCTGATAAACCACATATTGAAATAGTTCAATATTCGCTAAGCCGAGAACACATTGCATTGACAATAGTATGCGTCAACTGTCGTATGACCAGCAGCTGATGAATCAATCTTCGCTCTTGGATGAGGTTTGATGGCACAACACTGTCTGCCGATTTTCATTGGCAGTTTGAGTTGATAAACATTAAAAACAATCCTTTGCACACACCTCATTGCATTGCCTCAAATGAGAATGAATGTATGGAACATCACTGCCCACCTTTACCTTTAACCTTTTCTCTCTACTAATTGCTAAGATATTCATTATTGGATAAGAATGAAATAAATAAAAATATATCCAAATTTTGAGGGCATGTTAGAGGGCCTATGGGTTTAAATACATTTACATTTTGTTTGGAAACCTCCATTTTCTATTCCTGTCCTCTAAAAAAACTATTAATTTTTAATTGATTCTTACATTCAGCAAAGCCTACATTGTTGATCATAACAAACCAATAGCAGCAGCTTTTGGAACTGACTCCATGCAACAAATAGGTAAGTATTTTTTTAATGTGTTATAAATGTGATGTAGAAATTGTATCAATAAGTACTGAAATGTCACTCATTGGAAATTGATAACTTAAATAATCTTAAATAATGTTTTATTGAATTTTTAATGTTTTTACATATTTCATCATAGATGATATTTTAATGGCTCAACTTCAGCTCAATAGCAAGTTTGGTATAAAACATATGTGTATTGTTATTTATTAATGATATAGGCAGTCCTCCAATAGCTGATGGTGCAATAGGTCAGGTACAGGCAAGAAGCCCAATGGAGCTTTGGAAGCAGGCATTTACTTCGTATTTTCCACAGCAGGTAAGATAGGTTTAAGTACGCTCATCTAGAATATCTTCTCTGTATTTCATAAACACCTGTGCAGTATTGTGAAGTCTTGTTTTCATACAGAAAGATGAATTGCTGTATGACTATCAGCTAATAGTACAACAAAAGAAGTTTCTGAGATAAAACTATTATCTGTAAAGATTTTGAGATGATGATGATAATGATATTGTAATTAATAATAAAGCTTTTATATAGTAATGGATCAAATCAATACACTCTCTAGCAGAGAACCGTAATGAATGGTGGGAAAATGACGAATATGCTTTGTTGAAAAAAGACCAAGTCTTAATGAAAATGATGGTTTATGTACAGTACTTGTGAACTCAAGTTGTTCAAAATGCATTCAATGGTTTGAATGTAGTCTGCCCTAATCAATGATTTTTTTTTCCTTCTTTCCAATCAGACTACAGGAAGTGACAGCACAAGCGAGGACCCAGCCAAGGACCAGCAATATGCGGAGCCAGAAGTGGACAACATGAGGGCCCAGAAAGATGAGGTACTGGAGGAAGAGCGAATCCATCAATCTAATAAGCTATTCTCACGCCCCAAGCATAGCCATCCTGTAGGAGAGACTTGAGGGTGGCTGTGAGTGTTGAGTTGAATTTTGTAGTGTTGAAAGGAAGTTGTTGAATTTTCCTTAGAATATCAGGAAGTTATATAACCTATTAATACAATATTTTCCTTTACAAATCCCTAATATTGTAATTGTTATGTTCTTTGTTAGACAATTCCTGTTTTAGTGCTTCTGAAAATTGAGATACTTTCCTGCTGTGGATTGAAATAGATCATTAGACTTGTGGGGGTATTTTTGTCTTTTAATTAATTTGATTAATTTAACTAACCTGTATTTCATAAAAAAATTAATATTTCCTGAGTCGGGAACCAGGAATATTCAAGGGCAGGGATGTTCATATTTTTGGCGCTGTGCCTATATATATATAGCATACCTACCGATTCTATTTTATAGTATGGCATGTCAATTTTGATGTGCAAAGATGTGTGAATTTATATATAGAAATGTGTGATAATGAGAGTTCTCAAATAAAATAGTGGTGCTATTTGGTGGTTAAAATGCTTGTCTTCCAATCCAAGGGCCCTGGGTTCAAATCCTTTTCGAAAACCAGAATTTGTCTTCATATCTCAAACATCCCTACCCCAAACCTATGTGAGAATGTAACCCTGGTCTATATAACATATAAATAAAATATGTTGTTAACACTGAAGTGTTGATTTTGATTCAATATTATCCTAATACTGTAATATGAAGTTATTTTGTTACTTAACACTACTACTGTAATATTAACAACAATATTTAAAAATGATGTGTGCATGTATTTTGATCTCTGATTCTACAATATTAGCCCTCTTGTAATTGGGAATAATCCAATCCAATCTGGTAATGTTAGTATGATACCAGGCTTGTAATTCTGGAGGTTATGGGTTCGATTCCAAACCAAATCATAATTGATTCAAATGTACCAGGTATGCACTTTACAGCATATCAGTTTTATTGCAAATTATATTTATATATTTTCTGTATGTTTTAATAACCAAAATCATGGATCAGTTCCATTTCTAATTTTAATATGTTAATTTTATTTTGACTTTACAGGAGTTGGCAAGATATCACAAGCTATCTGAGAGGCGAGCCAGAGAGCGTGCAATGGGGGCAGGAATGGGCGATGGTCACTGAGCCATATTCAAATATGTACCAGTTCTGTTACATTGTTTTACCTTCTTTGGGAGGGTACATGTTTTAAATGTAAAAGGAGAATATTTAGTTTCTTTAATGAAACTGCTGTCATTAGTTATGGTCTATATTGTATATTCCATCAGCTATCTTTATGCAACCTGTGCAATGATAAATTACTTTCCTGTAGGTAAGATTGATACTGATTTCAGTATGAGAGAGTTTGGTGGTAACTGACTCTACTAGTACTTTTTGTTCAATCCTGGGATTAAAAGCAAGCGAATAGTCTACATTAGAGCATTAAAAAAGTTGTTTTGTTATGCAGACAATAGCATATTATGGGACACACATGTTGATACAAGTTTATTTTGACAAATACTTGTAATTTGCCCATATTTGGGTGTGATATTACATCATTGTGTCCATATATGGGTGTGATGTTATATGCCCATACAATACTTTTGTCTGATCAAATTATCATGCCCAAATATGGTGTTATGTATCATGGCCATATTTGGGTGTGATATGATATGCTCATAAATTATTATATGGGTATGATATGACATCATACCAAATTAATTTTCACATAAAACTTGTGTGGACACACATTAAAGCTACAGGCATGTTTGTGTTATAGCCTCAATATATAAGGAACATTATAGATTGTAAATGTAAACACATTGTTGTTACACTGCAATTTGTAATAATATCATATAAGGCGAACATATCTATCTCAGAGAGCTGCTTGCAGTGCCATTTCCCTCTGCAGTGAACTGCAGCCCTTTCTGCCTTTTGTTTTGTTTATTTATTTATTAAAACAAACTTGACTGCAGCAGTCAGCTATACTGACTTGATGATTACAAAGACTGAATATTAGAATAAATTAGAAGACAATTACGCAATATTTGAATATTCATTTATTATGATTCTACAAACATACATCATACAATATTGACCAACAATGGTTGGCTACTTCAAATAACCAAATGTACACTGTAGTACATTGGCTATTTTGTTACCAATGCAATTTTACCAGAGTTTAACTAGAACTTATTCAAGCCAGCCAGCATTACTTAAATTTAGATGGCTCAGTAACTTCATTCCAATATTAAATTATGCCAGGGGTCCCAAGTTGGAAGAAATCCCTTCCTGGAGATCTGGTTAAATGAGCTTTCAAAACATATTTAATTTTATTTTACTGCGCATGTTGAAAATCCATCGGCACTGACCTCTGCGAGACAATTGATAATAAAGCAGTTACAAAATTCAAGTATTATGAATTTGCAGGAAATGTGTCCTGATTTCCAGGAGGTTCAGGACCCAAAACAGGGTCACTTTTTTGCATTTTACATACATGGTACTTAAATTTCCCCACATAAGAATTAATTAATGGTATCAAGGTGCTTCTCTAGGTTTTTCAAGGTACAGGATATTTAAATTTTAAACATTTAACATCTGGATAATTCATCTTCATTTGTGCTGTTATCCTTATTGCACAAACAACAACAGTTAGCTTGTTTCATCAATAATATATTACAGGTATCAACTTTACTGGAATGTATAACTTGGGTTGGGAGTGCCACCGGTCCACTGACCTATGAACCGCATCACATCCTGGCATTCTGTACTGTGAGACATCTGCAAACAATGAAAGAAAAAAAAATTAAATTGATAATACTGTACTGTAATAATACAATCAGATATCCCATTTATGCACATACTGGGACAAGGGGGAAGTACCAGTGGGGGTTAGGGAAGGGGGGTAAAGCACTTCATGGGACTTCGGTATCTGTTTCCCTCTTGGGGTAGCTGAGCCCTCTAACATGTTTATCGATCCAAGCTCTCAAAATAACTACAAAAAACCAATGTTTGAAAGCTGCTTGGTAAAACATGGTGGACTTGACAGCTGGTAATTAACATAATAGGTGGTTAAGTTGCCTACCTTGGTACTCATCAGGAACTTATTCCAGTCATCCTTGTTGGCTGCATGTCCACTCTTCTTCAAGTCTAACTTATTTCGGAGTACTGGGTAGCCTAGGTGAGGGAATGACAAATGTTTTATTAATTCTTCAGTAGGTTTTTACAACAGACATGCTTGTTATCTATTTCCTTTTACACTATCTTTCTATTATAGTATTATCTTCGTTAATATCATTATCTCCACCACTACTGCCACAATTTATCTTTCTAATCATCTCTTCTCATCTTTATCATCATCAGCTCTTTTCATCGTTATCCACCTCTTTAGCACTTTCATCATTATCCTAATCATCACCAGCTCTTCATCATCATTAGCTCTTCATCATTATCATCAAAATCATTACTATCAAGTCATTATCATCAAGACTATTTGTTTATCCAAACCACTACCATCTCCTAGCACTTTTCATCATCCTCTAGTCATCATCATCAACATCCACTTATTTGCTCATCCCACACCGACTACCATCATTCTAATCACCATCTCTTTTTATCTCTCACTCCCCTTGAATACACATACCTGAAATGACACAGGGTGGGGATCTCATTCCAGTACTTGTGGCAATAAGAGAGCCAACATATGCACCCCTCTCATCCAGATCTAGCTGCTGCTCTACCTTCTGATCCATGGATACTGCCAACACCCATTCCTTCACTTCTTCTTTCTTTTCCTCCTGTACAATGCATAAATGTCTTATGTTCAGTACTGATTTTAATAGAGGGTTTGCTGGATTTCTTATTTATTATACTTACTGTATTCAGGCACATGGCTTAAAGAATTCCAAATGTGAATATCACTGTTATTACTGTACATGACAATCCCAACAGAACACGGAAGGTTGATTGGTCTGTAAACTGTCATGTGACCCCTACTCATTTCTAAATAGTGCACTTTGTCCCTTTGTTGTGCACAGGGTCATTATGTACACATGACCAACTGCTTATCCTCACATCTGAAGGATGTGTTAAACATTTGCAGAAGTGCCTTGAGCGTCATATATGGCTGATGCCGGTGATATATAAATGTTCTATTCTATAGTGAAGATTTTGACCATAGTGCACAAGATCAACATCTTACGGTCCCAAAACATGGAACACAATTTCAAAAGATTAATACCTAGCTACAGCAAGTAAACATCAAGGTACCTCATTACCCAAACTCCCACCCCTTGAAAAAAAACCCCTGTTGTTAAGAAGCAGTTTCATAAGAACAAATCTTACTGGTACGTGCTGCTTTTCTGGAAGTGGAATTTCAAATGGAATATCCGTATCTTGGAAATCCGTATGATCCAGCATGTCCAAGCTGCCATCTTCAATGGCCTATGGGAAGACAACGCAACAAAGTCACAGACAAATATTTATTTCAAGGTATACTAACATGCACATTTTTAGTGCTATATCTATATGAAAGCAATTAGGGTCATCCTGGTTATTATAGCATATTTAGTATATTCATCACCATCATCACATGCACAATTTATCACAAGATCTCACAAATACAAATACTATATTCATGCACCTTTGACTTGGTTTAATCCAAAAAAATCAAACATTCTCACTAGTATTTCATGATTCTACATGTTAAGAATAACTACCTCAGTGAGATCTAAGAATCTATTGAGGAACACAAATGCCATGTTATCCCATCCTTGCTTCCTGGATTGGATTCCGGCCTCGTAAAATGCCTTGTCTGCCGGTACTTGTTCAGTGTGTCTCAAAAGAGCAACAGACAATTTTGCAGCAAGTGTTTCCTATATAGGGTAATGGGAAACAAAATTTCAAACCAATATTACAACAGATAAAGATACTGTATTTTAATACTTTTTATAAATTAATCGCTCAAAAATAATGTGATAATAAATAGAAATAATTATATAAATATTCCTTTAACATTGATTAACATAAGTATGTTACTGCTATTATTGCAGTTTTTAAGCTATGTTTTATGTCTATTTTCTTAATTCAATTCTATGAGTTTCTAAATCCAATTTGTTATTCATTTATTCAGTTATTCACTTCACACACTTTATTTGCATTGGTGTTCTGCACAGGTGTGCAGTTGCTGCTCTTTGTTTTATTCAGTTGCAGTTCAGTTGTTCAAGTAAGCAGACTGCCTTGTATACTTTGTAAATTCACCATTATTTTGTTCCAGTATATTCCATTCAGGATTATTTTACTTTGGACTTATTTTAATTTGGATTATTACAAGAATTAAAAGGGAAGTAACTGATTTTCTCTCATCTTTTTATATTTAATGTTTTTATAATAATATTGTATATTTGTCACTTAAAAGTACATGAAAGCTTTTGTCCTGCTGTTTTACAAGCATAGTTCAAATAAAGTTATTTATTATAGAATCTATATTTCATAAAATATCACAATTATTTTGGCCAACTTAAGAGCCTTGATAAAGAAATGACGCGAGCCAACTTATCCACAATTTAAAACAGTTTGTACACAAATAATGGCCACAATTTGATTCCTTACCAAGTTCGGTTGACCTAGGCAAGCACTTCTTGTGGCATAGTAGTGCGCCACCAACAGCATGTTCTCAAATTCTTCACGTGCTGGGTTCTTTGCTGCGGCAGACCTGGCTATATTCTCGCACAAGTTCATTAACATATCTCGCAGATCTGCCCATACGTGGTACGACTCGGGTTTGTCCAGATTTGGCATAGAAAGCATCTCCATGAAAATACGTTTGTAAATATTAAAATTCTAATGAAGATAGAACAATAAATATGTATCATGCAAGTAAATTGTGTTGTATTTAAATTTAAAATGTATATATATGAACTACTTTGAAAATCAACTAAGACAATTAGATATAGGGAGTGTAGCTCCTACCATGGTAGGTAAACCAAGAAACAATCCCTTATGTTTTCTGATAAGTACTGAGTTATTATTTTATATACATGTGTGACCACATAGCCAATATACTATATATACAAAGAGCATGGGGATCCCCTACATATTGTACAACCAATGTTGAAGGGAAAAAACACCTTTAACGTTTTACCTCTGGATTTGGTGGCGCACCATGTTGGACGTAGAGATCCAGCGCCTTCTGGATATTATGTTGATTGATGAGATGCGCAGCATAGAGGGCGACATATTTATGCAGTACTTTGAAATCTTGCTTCTGTGCCTTCTCAATACACTCCTCCCATTTTCCTTGTTCTACGTACATGTTAAGTGCTTCAGTCGGTTCTAGATCCATCATCTGTAAAAAGCAAAAAAATCAGCAGCCTGAATGGATCGTCATTAAAATGATCCGTTCTCCATAGAACGTAGTGACTGCCCGACTTAATGCAACAATTGCAGTTATGGTAACATAAGCCCATCCATAGAAAAATAACTAGGTTATATATCCTTTTACTACAACATAACATAAACTTTGATTTGATTTTAAATTAAATACCTGTTTTTACTATATTTAACATTTCAACATCGATGTTCAAGTGATTACTGTTTAGCCTGCATAAAATTCCTAGTGTTTGTTAAAAAGGTAACATCCTGAGCTATGCACCCCTACAATTGTCAGGGATTTAGCATGCAAAACAAAAACGACATACCGAATCCGGATCATTTTTCTCCTTCAGGAATTCCTTGTACCGGCTGTCAACATACTTCTCGTATCTGGGCTCCAATTCCTTGGCTACTTTTTTAGCTTTCACCCACTCCTGTCCCTCCAACAACACGTCGATGGCCTCTTTGATTAGGTCCAGCTGCAAGTACAGCTCTGCAGCCGTGTTGTGCTTGTCAATACTTGCCAATCGTGGACCGATTTGCTCTACAACTGCTAGAGCTCGCGAATGGTCTAGGAATTTCATAGCTATACCAGCAGCCTGTTGTAAACAAGAAGTCAATCAATCAATCAATCAAATCAATCAAATCAATTAATTAATCACAAACAACCTTACAAACACACTTTGTATTTCAGATTCAGTTGAGAGTACGTAATTCTGAAACATTTCCGTTGAAATTCTGTAATTATTCAAATAAACGCCCAAGGGAAAGGGTTTGAGGGGGAGTATATTTCAAAGTAGGCATTTACTTTAGGGAGACTTAATGAATAAGCACTCCTTAATTCATCAAAACATTTTCAGGAGGTGAAACCAACCACACCTAGACACTAAATTTTGCACATTATTCCTTTTAATTTGGTTTTGTTTTCTTTCTTTTTCTCAATTTTTTGTGCATTGGGGCTTTGGTTTCTCAGCGCAGGGACGATATTGTATTGCACTTACAAATACTGTATATCACCAATAACATACCGTAAGTATAGACACAATGAAGATTCTGACCTTTGACCAGCAATTTTCCAGTAGTTTGTTATCCTTGGTGTGTTTTGTGGTGACCTTGGAATAACAGTCAACAGCTCGGGCATGCTCACCAGCCCCTTCCCATTCACGAGCTTGACCAATCAATGCCTCAACACCTCTGTAATAACAATCAAAACAAAAACATCTTAAAATGCAATATATCATCTTTAAATATTTATGTCCCTTTCATTAATAACCAATTCCTTAATAATTTATATACTGTATATAATATATATATATTTGTTTTATATTTTTAATCTATATTTGTTTAGTTATAGGTATATTGGAATTTTTACACAAATTGCTTTACTGTTTTATATGTTGATTCCTAAAGGCGATAAAGGAATGAGGACGTATACTTGGTAGTTTTTATGGATTTCATTAAAATATATCTTGGAGCAGTTTGTTCTGTTATGTTCGAAGGGTGTGTACTAGTTAGGAAACAATGGCATGTCTGAATACTGTATCCAGTCAAATTTTTATGCAATAAAGCATTTAGTAATAATATAAATACATAATATATTACAGATTTGAGTCAAGATGTTAAAAAATATTACAAATACAACATAGCAACAGTGCTCAAAATGGGTGAAACTCTCTTCTTACCCTATTTCAGGATTCAACATCTCTCTGTCATACTCTTCTTGCAGTTGCTGCAGCTTGTGTGGCACATACTCCTTGCAGACTCTCAGGCAATCCTGCCACATACCAGCATTCTGTGGGAGACATCAAGGCAACAGGTCATTGCCAGATTTATCTATTGTTTCTAATCATGTTGACTTCTGTCACTCTATTGGCAATATCCCTGCCCAAATCTTTATATGGGAGAGTTAAATACCACAATCAATATTTTAACATGTAGGCTACCAGGGACACCAGTTCACATCCAGCAGGGTTCACTCAGAGTACCAACAAGGTGAGTTCACATTCACACCTGTCTGACATACCACTATTTTATTGCACGTAAACTTGCTGGCAGTGATCACCAGAATGTGAACTCTCGCCCTGGCGGTTCAGAGAAGAACCCAGGAGTAATGATTCAAAAATATATATGTTTGTATTTCAGTACAGTTGATGGGAATAATTTTCAATATGGTGGCGCCCTTGGTGTATGGGATGAAAGTAGGAAATTTGGCAGTCAAGGTGTTAAATTTTGCCAATCAGAATTAGAGAGACTACTTCTGTTACAGTCATCGACCAATAAGAGATCTCAGTTAGTTATTCTGATTAGCCAATTCAAGAGCATTATCATTTTTTGTGGTTAGCCAACTTCAATAAACAACTTCATCGATGCTAATTACCATTTATTCAAAAAGGTCAATCATTTACAATAATCAGCCAATCAGAGAGCTAAATTAGTTTTTAAAAATAACCAATTAGATAACAGTTTACAGGATTAAGCAATAAGTTGGTTTCACTGGATCACTCCTAGAGTTTTTTAGAGAATTTTAACACTGCATTGTGTACCTTGTAGTACTTGACGGCGAGTTCCGGACGATGTGCTCTTAAAAGGAATGACTCGGCCTTCTGGAAATCCTTCTGCTCAAATGCGAATCTAGCCTGGCCAACCAGAACGTCTGCAACACTGTCTGGGTCATGCTTCTCAGCTACCCGCTGCGCTGAGTCCCAATCTTGGCTGTGTACATACCTACATGCAACCGTTCAATGGTATATGAATATAGCAAAGATCATTTGATAGTATCATAATATAAAATATAGTAACCTAAAATGCTGATAATTTTACATAAAATAAAACATCAAACAATATAGCCTCCTAAAAAATAGTACCTCCCAAAAAAAAGCTTGCAACCCTGCTTTTCACGCCCCTATAAATCTTTGAAGAAAAAGTTAGTTAAACATTACCTCATATTACCTTATTTTGCCAGGTAGTTTCCCTCCTCACTTTATCATTGAGCCCTTCCACTTGTCTTTCGCGCTTCCCCACCCCCCATTTCAATACCCCTAAATACGCCACTGTGTATAACCACTTACATTAGCACAGCTTCCTTGGGTTTTCCAGCCTTGATGAAAGCAGCTTCAGCATCCTGGAACTGGCCCTCATCCTCTAGGTACATGGCATGCTTTAAGTGGATCTCAGGAATCTTATTCTTTGCAGATGTCTTTGCAAGGTCAAATGCAAAGTCAAAGGCACTACAATAAAATCATAAAAAGGTTAGACTCACAATTTAAATAAATAAATGATGGTTTTTAAAAACCAGACACTTATTATGGCTGTAATATGGTAAAATTTGAGTGTACATATTAGGTATACATATGAATTAAACATTGTGGACCTACAAGAATATGTATATTGTTTCCAAGAACTTATGTTAAAAGTTTACCAATCATTTCATTATGCAAAAAATCCAGTCACTAGGCAACATTTTCATTATGCAAATTATTCCTCACTTACCAGTTGTCAGCTGCATATTCTATAGCTGAGTCTAGCAAGCCAAATTTGGTGAGAAGCTTAACTGCTGAGTCACCACCAAGACTCTTAGCCCACAAGTAGGCCACCTGTTTAGTAGAGTTAGCTTCGCCGTGACTCTTAGCCACCTGTAAGAAAGATAGAACAATACTAAATATCAAAAGATAATTTTAACAAATCCAGAAATCCAAAGTAGAACATTAAGCATAAGCATGATTATTATGGCTTCTCTTAGCATGTGTTGTTTTCATTTTTATTATTACCGCCAGCACTATAAAGGTACTAAAAAATACTGACCCTGTAGGCCTCGTCCCAAAGGTCGGCTCCACGGTACATATTAACAGCAGCTTTCCAGTCTTTACCCTCAATGAAGTGGTACTCTGCCTGCCTCAACTGACCATCACTCTCCATTTCCTGAGAAAAGTTTTTCAAGTTAAATAATTAAATAATATTTAACAAGATTTCCAATACTAATATCCTATGAATCCGTATTGAATTCAGTGATAATATAAAATCAAATAAAGGTCTCCATCTAATTAAAGACCCCTCCAATTAAAGACCATTTTTCTGTGGCTCAAAATTAACAAATGTCTTTTATTTTTATTATTCTAATTAGAGACCAAAGCTGCTAAAGACCATGGAAACCCCGGTCACAAAAGTGGTCTTTAATTGGAGGGAGACCTGCACTTACTATCAACACTGTCATTAGTAATTTTCACTGACAGAATCACCACCAGTACCATTTTCTCAACCATTGTCACATCACAATCATCATATTCACCAACATAATCGTTATCACCACAAATATTTACCACCATGATGCTACCATCAACACTACTACCAACACTCTACCTCCACCACCATCATCACCATCATAATAATAATAATAATCATATCACTATCATTGTCACCATTATCAGTTCAAATTGGTTGATTTTGAAATATAGTTAAATACAAACAAATATAGAAATAATAACTTGATTACCTTAGCGAGATGAAGATGAGTGTCCTGCAGAAGGTCGGGGTGGTATTGCTTCACGAGCCGCACCATGTGGTCATACTGGCGCTGCTTCTTGTACATAGTGATTGCCATATCGGGCTCATCTACTGTGATGTACAGCCTCTCAGCTTCCCTAAACTTGCCCTGCCCCTCTAGCTGCTGTGCCTGGCTTATGTACAAAACAGCGACATCCTCGGACTTCATACATGTCACGGCAAGCTGGAGTTATTAACCAATCATTAATTAATCAGTCCATTATTTTAAATATTAATAATATATTTGTAATAAATTTAATAATTTTATATAATATAAATTTATAATTTCTTGCATTAAAATGTTAAAACACCCCCCCCCCCCCGCCAAAAAAAACAAAAAAAAAAAACCTCACA